TGTGTGTCTCTCCCCCCCCTCTGTGTGTGTATCTACCTATCAACCTACCTGTCTATCTCACTTCGAGCATTGTTTCCCTTTTCACCTCCCTCTCACCCGCTCATGCTCTATTTGTGCTCCTGTCATATTGGGAGATGCGCTTTGCAAACCACCTTTTTCATGCTCCTGTCACTCTCACTCTACCCTGCACATGCACAGAATGAGACGAGTACGAGAATGCATGAATATTAGGTGGATTCAAAAGAAAAACATTGACGCCACGCACAGAGAATGGCGAAAAAAAAAGAGAACACACACGGAATAGATCATTGCACCCCACTCTTGTCACAAAAAGGTTCAAATATTACAACACCCTGTAGCACCCACATCCGTGCTCAAGCCTCCAACGAAGGAACATACCGGAGCTGCACCCACCAGCAGGTGCGATACCTGCTACAGTAGGTGGGCGATACAGGCCAGGGGTCAGCCGGTAGCATCAGGACCGAGCTTCTTCGATGGGCCTGTCACTGTACCTCCCCTCCAGTCCCCTCCCGCTATGGGCCCTATGAACATCAGCAGTCTCTGCTCAATGCCACTCAGGGGACCAACAGCATATATCTAGGTGGTGGGTGTCAAGCTTGCCCAGAAACGTACATGAGGCCAATGGGGATTGAACCCAAGACCTCCTGAATGCCACTTGTGTGCCTTACCAACTGAGCTACATAACTTTTTTTTTTCTGATTTTTTTTTTTTCTTTTTTCTTTTTTTTGCGCTGAGGCTCCCCGGAACCCTTCCCGGGCGTCATGCCCGGGTGCCCCCAGGCATAAGTTGGGTGCCCGGGCCCCCGGAAAAACAGCCTAGCCCAGCATACATTTCATTTCCTTTTCTTGTCCTTTCTGAATGAAGATTTCCTAAGGGCCAGACCAGCTTCCTCTCTCAGGTGGTCAAGTTTCTTCAGCGCATACGATCCTTGCCTTTGCAGTTTTAACTTTGAAGCTAGGCCATTTGCTTTGAAGTGTGGTTGGGCCATGGTCGTCACTTCGCTCGCTCCCCAACTTGGAGAGTGCCGATAGCCTGAAGTCGAAGGGGAAGTACGACTACCGCCAGCTAGGGAAGGCCTGACCAGTCCAACTTTGCAGAAAGCTAGAAAATGGTGCTTCCAAGGGGATTACGACACAACCACCACCAACAGGCCTAAGCTAAGTTGGTACTTCCATGAACAATCCAAACACAGGCTCAAGTTTGAATCCAGATGCAATCAAATAATTCTGAATTATTACCAGGGGCCGGTCAGCTCGATGATGATATCTCAAGACTGTCGCCCTTTTAAATTATAGAAAGAAGAAAAAAAAGCATCGTTTAAAAGAAGAAGAGGAAGAAGAAGAAGAAGATACAAATGGCTGGACAAGTGGAGTAGTAAAGAAGCCATTACAGGAACTCCGCACAATTTGCATGCATCTGGCAGATCAGCGCCACAAAGTTCATGGTGATTCTTGCACGCGCACCAACATGAGTCATGGCGAGGGCCTGAGTTAAACAACCACTGTGTGATGACCCGTCCATATATGGACTGAAACACACAACTGATTTCTGAGTTTTGCCCATAGACTGAATGCCCTGCTGAGTTTCCCGCTTGCTAATAAGTCTGTGTGTGCACGCTTGCTGGACTGCATGTCTGTCTGAGTGCTGGATGGCTTGAGTGTGTGTGTGACGATGCCTGTCTGAGTGTTGGTTGGCTTGGGTGTGTGTGTGACCGTGCCTGTCTGAGTGCTGGTTGGCATGAGTATGTGTGTGGCCCGTCAGGGCACTTGCTTGTTCGTTGGGCCCTCAGGGCCGGTACTTGCCTGTGGCCGTGACATTGAGAGGTTGCAGCGGGGAAAAACACTCAGTAGCGGGTAGGCCGGTACCGCACCTGGAACAGGTAGATGTGCAGGTACCCGAAGGCCGAGCAGAAGAAGACAAAAGTGCCATTTTTAGAGGCCCAGTAGTTGTAGGTTAGGTGTAGGCGGATATCAGTCCAACCAGTCTGGGTCTAGGGCCTGCATGGGCAATATCAGAGTCTGCAATGATGTTTCCCTCCAAAAAGGAGGAGGTACCGGTTGCTTGGGAGGCCGAGTGGCCTGGAAGCCACCGCCCAAGAGGCAAAGCAGGCCGCTATATCTTCTGGACGGGCGGAGAGTCCGGCCTCTTTTTCAGTGTGCAAGTTTGGCGACACACTGGTGGAGCGCGGGCTGGAACAGCACTATGCTGGAGCAGCGCTGCTGGGGAGGAAGGAGAAGGACATGAGGGAGGAAGAAGGAAGGAAGGGGGAGAAGCACCAGGGGTACTTACCTGGCTATGGTGGCAGCCATCTTCATCACCTTGGTGGGCGCTGCAGCAAGGAGTCCCCAACTGGGGGCGGCAACACCAAGAAGCTTCAAGGCAGGGTTGGGCATGGCGGCCTGAGCTAGAGCAGCCATAGCTGCTTTGGGTTGTCCTTTGGGCATCTGGGCCAGGCCTAGTAGTCCGCCATAGCCTCGGCCTATGCGAGTGAAGAGTGGGGAGGCCGGCCATGGCTATGGTGGACCTCAAGTGATACCTGCAGTAGAAGAGGGACTCGGACATTGATTCTGGATCAGTCATTCAACATTGTATTATTATTTCTTGTATGAATAAGAGAAGGGGGAGATAAGGGGGAGGAGATTGTTGGGCGAAGAAGAAGAGCCTTGTCATTGTCTTTGCTGGTGTACATCTTCTTCTGCTTTCTTACTTCTTCTTCTTCTTCTAATCCTCTCTCTCTCCTCTCAAGTTCATTCATTTCTTTCTGCAATTGGATGGCATTGTACTTTCCGGTGGATGTGTATCTCGAAATCGGCCAGGGTCATAACAACTGTACTCAACTGTACAGGCCACATTCAGGAAAATGTTGGACTTTACCTTTTGCCTAGACGCACTAGGAGGAGGAGGAGGAGTTCAGGAGATATTCGCTTAAAAGAAGGAGAAGAAGAAGAAGAAGATGCATGGGTCCTGGGGACCATCTCACGCAAGTGTGTACATGCCATGCATTGTACTCCCACACACAATGAACAGTAGTTTGACAATAGACAAAGATAGAGAAGATGAGGACCGAGTTTCACAGTTTATATTATCAGAAATATGAATACAAAGTGTTTCAAAGTTCCCCGGAGTCCAGCRCTCAWCAGCRCAACACCAATATCTTGCCAACTCATCAATATGCCTTCCAGTGAATCAGTGCTACCCCTGCAGATAGTCTCCAAGTCATCAATGTGGTCACCACTCATCAGCGCCACCTCTGCAGGTCACATCCAACTCAGGTAAGTATCTTCCATAGCCAACCTTGAATGAACATTCTCAGCCTCAATCCCTTCCTCCTATGATGCATACACACTCTTCAAT